AGACAATAGAGCATTATATTTGATGATGGGTGTGAAAAGGTAACTGATTTCCACATTCTTTACTGTTAAGTATCGTTCACCTGGCTTTAAGTCTAAGACATTGTGTCTAAGACCTTTCAAACAGCTGCTTGAGTGGAATAAAAATGACGGTGGAAACTCTAAATGTTTCCTTACTTCATGGCTAACACTGAAATTATGTGTACTGTTGAAGTATAACGACAAAGGCGATGGGACAGCCTTTAGGCCTCTATTTTGGCTTAACTTGGCATTCCATCAAATCCTACGCAATTCCTAATGATATTTGAGAGGAATACTGATGTCAAGAAGATCTCCAAATACTTCCTATAATACTGGCTTAAACAAAAATTTGCTGTACTACAGAAATTAATTTGCAAAACTTTGTAATCCTCTAAAGACTTCCTTCCTAGCTTTTCTTGGAATGTCACAGAGTAATATGTTCTTTTTCAGTGGGTACATTGATGATATGGATCTTTTACACTGCTCCTTTAGATGTGTTTTGAAGTTTATCCTATCCTTTGTAACCTCAACTTTTGGTTTTTGTGGTTGTTTTTGCTGGGAGGTTAAGGCGATGGACTAGAAATCCATTGGGGTCTCCCCGCGTAGGTTTGAGTCCTACCAGCAACGCTAGCTCCCTTCTCTAATGGCTGTGCTTTTTTACACACATACTCCAGCAGTCATTGAAAGCTGCTTGTGACATTCAGGAGAAGGAAAGTGTCATGATGGGTTTTAGGTTCCTAGCCCACATGCAGAACACACACAGAGTCAGGAGGAAAGTCTAACTGTTTATTGATAAACACAAAGGTTCTGACAGGTTTTGGAAACAGGTGCGGGGCTGGACACACAGGATCTTCCGTCCAGAGCCTCAGGCTGAGCGTCAGAGAGAGAGTACCGGTTGGGTCCAGAGACAGAGGATTGGCAGAGGGCTTTGCAGCGGCAGGAACTGGCTTCAGAGTTCTGTGGTTCAGACCTTAAGTGGGTCTCCAAGTTCTCTCCAGAGAACTGGCAGGGAGATGCAGGCTGAGGTTCTTCAGGTTTGGCTTCTCAGAGCAGGTAGGCAGGTTTCCCAAACATGAGCTCCACCTGAGCTCCAGGTTTCAGTCAGGATCTTCCTAGAAGAACAGAGAGGACAAAAACTGATCAGGATTTGGTTCTAGGTTTCATGGGAGTCAGAGAGTCAGACAGACTGGTTGGCTCAGGTAGGCTACCATAACTTATTCAACACTCTGGCAATGAAGGGACGCTCAGCCGCTGCTTATAAAGCTGATCTCCTGATGACTGATGGATCTCAGGTGTGGTCCTCAGCTCAGCTCCAGGAGACCAAGGGGCGCCCTCTGCTGGAGGAAGGGGGACAGACCTCCAGATCCCAACAGAAAGCATGTAAACACTCAAGCTGTTATGGTCATGTTAACCCATTGTGTGTGTAACGGGTACCGTAGCATCGGCACCTTGGCTGACAGATATACTCCTGACAAACAGGAGAGAGATGAGGAGATGGCTTGTCAGTTTAGAATATCAAGCAGTAATTTATTCAAGTTTCATTTTTAAATACACTCATGTGTTAAATTTCTTTGTGTATGTTCAACATATTCAAAGTTCAGTGTCCTCTAAACATTCTCACTGAATTTCAGTAATTATCTCAACAAATAACAAAATACATCTCTTCCAAAAATGCATATTCACTTACTTTTCAGTTTAGTATTTTAACCTATTTACCACAAATGAAATACATAGACAATGGTATAATAACCAGCTTAATGTTAACGTTAATTTTTAACTCCTCATATATCTATTTTACTTAGTTTTGAATCAAGACATTACTGCATTTTAACCTCATAAACCTTCAGTGCTTANTATATGAACAGATTGTATGCAAAACAGTGTAATGAATAGGTTGCCACTGTGTAATGAAGAGCTTGCAAAAGTAAAAGAGTAAAATGAACATTATTATTTATAAAATGCAGCAGTGATCAGAATGTAAACAGTGTACAGTAGGCGAGAAATAAAAAATTAAAAAAAAAAGGGCATTAATATTAAAAATGTTCAGTCCAGTGCAAAATGAATATGGTGCAAAATGCAGCAGAACATTGAGTTGCATTCTATTAAAAAGTTTTATAAAAATTCTGCAGTTTGGTATTGCAAAATAATGTTGCATATCAGACCAATTATAACTTAATTATTTGTCTATTTGCTGTATAAACTTTGCTGACTGTCATCTGTCTGTCAGTATACACACATACATTAGCTCCACATTAACCTGTTTTATATTTGATGTTTGCAGATGACTAAGCCAGATAGCTACTGGAGGGACATCTGCTCGAAATATTCCCAGGGCCAATTCCACTTCTCAACTGGCAAATGCAAGGGGGCAAGAAATGGAAAAAGGAAATGGAAAAGGAAAAAATTATTTTATTCATCATTCTATTATAAGTCATGATTAGTCATTGTAGCATACAGATTTATTTATTGTACAATATATATCTGTACAGTTCTAGAGAAAGCTAGTAGCATAGGATTATATGTAAAGCATGTAAAGTGAGATACATTTTCAGAGCACCTGACTGACCACCATAAAGAGGAGGTGTGTGAAACCTGTGGTGCTAAGGTGCAGGGTACTGTTGGTCTTTTAAACCTGTTTTGAACCACATCCAACTTGTTCACTATGCAGCATTAATGATGCCATCACAATGAAAGCCGCTAACAAAGTGCTACGAAAGCACTACCACCACAAAAGTAATACCATCAAAGACAACACCATCTCTGCTCTCTCCTTCATGTAGCTCTGACATGCCACACCACATTGCAGCTCCATCAACCTCAAAGCCAAAACCAACTGCAGTCAACTGGAGAGGTTTTCTTCCTGAGCAGCTTCAGAGAGTGATACAAGAAGCAAATCAGGTGTAGATTTGTAAATGCTTTTTTATGAAAGAACAGGCCAGCTAAAACAAAGATTCCAAGCCTGCTGGTTTCACCCCCCACTGGAGCCCAAACCATCTCCTCCTGAGCCTGGGTGGTACTACCGGCAGAGGCTGTTCATCTGGGCACCAATGAGGATGTGGGGGATTCCTTTAAAATGCCCACAATGTTCCCGGAAAATGAACAGCTCTGGGATCTACAGAAAGGTGAGGGAGGTGATTGATGTGGATAGCCGCTACTACCTAGTGGGAGGGGACTATCCACGTTGCAGCAAGTGCTCTCAGCCGGTCTGCCCATGGAGTCAGGACATGCTCTCCCAGGTTGATGT